TTTATAAAAATGAATCACTTTGCTGTACACCTAAAACTGGCATTGTAAACCAACTACACTTCAGTAAAAAATAAAATAAAATAAAATAAAATAAAATAAAATAAAATAAAACAAAAAGAATCCTAAATAAGCCAGAATGCACAGGTCTATTTTAAATAATTTTGGATACATTAAAACCATAATTTTATTGTTGGAAGAGATTGGCCTTAAGGATTCTTATTGTCCCCAGAGATCTATACATGCTCCTCAATTGAGTGTTTTACTCCCCTTGGTAATGTAGGAAACCATCATTTATCCCACTGAGGAAGCAGCGTTCTATGCTTTACCAGGGCAAATGTAGCTTATAATTAACACTTCTCCAGATTCTTGGAATTTGGTACTAAGGCTTGGGCTGCCCTCAGGAAAATGGTGATAAACTTGGGACTGGCTTTCCCACAGATCTATTTTCCCCTTTTACCAACAACCCAGAGTCCTCAGGCTACTTGCTGCTCTTTCTCCAGGTCACCCATCCCAGTACCAATGAAGTAAGGGGAGAAGGATGAAGAAAGGTACAAGCTTTATTTGTCTGTATTTGGTTTTCTAACTAGATAGATCACCATTTCCCAAAATATGCTCCTTCAAACCTTAGTCAGAGCAGATGCTCCAAGAAAGATCAGATTTGGGGATTTTTTAAAAGGAGTCAAAATTATACTTTATATTCTATATTTGATATGCATAGCATGTATTAGCAATATAAATGGCTCTGAGTATTTCTACCATTAAAACAAAATCTTAACGCTTGATTTGACCCAGTAAACCTCAAATCTGACCACAGAATACGCTTACTTTTCTTAAAACATCTATAACATAGTGTTACTTGGAATATGCTTTAAAAATGCTTATGTAGATGATGTTGAGAGCACCGGTTCTCACCAGGGAGAGAGGAGGGTGATGGCCCCTAGGAAGCATTTGGAAAATATCTGGAGACACTTTTGGTTGTCACATGAGGGGATGGTACTGACCTGCAGGGGGCAGAGGTTAGGGATGATGCTTGACATCTTAGAACGCACAGGACAACGTGATAAAGAATAACCTGGCCCCAGATGTCACTAGTGCCGTGACTGAGAGACCCTAGCCTCAACACTGCTTGTTCACATGACACCTGGGTCTGGCATCAGCAGGCTGGCAGTTGGCCCGCTGCACTCACAAGACCCTGTCATTTCATTTTGGCCATGCAAACCTCCTTATCCTTCATTCACTTCCGGACTACTGACAACACTGTCTTTAATTCGAGCTATGAAAATCTAAAGTGAACACACTGACATTTTCAGGTTCAGTCACTGGCAAGCTGTTAGGTATCTGTTATACTAGTCATTTCTACTGACGTTCTTTGACACTTTCTATGGCGTGTATTAAATATGACATAATGATCAAACTGTGTAAGTATTAGAGGAAAAAAATTGTACGTTATCTGTACCCATTATGTATAAGTAATGCTATTTTAGATATTATATGCTTCATATAATCTCAGTGCTCAGTTATCTTAAATACTGGCTGTACTGAGTCCTTCCTTTTATAAATAAGGAACTTCAGTCTCAGAGATGTTCCCCAAAGCCAGTGTGGACAGGCCAGGACAAGAGTCTGTCTCCAAAACCTCCACCCCAGTCTTATCTCCATTTCTATAGTGTCATGCTATTTGCATTTTTCATACATAATTTCACATATGTGACATGAAAGACTAATTAATCCATAAATATTCATGAATTCAACTTCTTTTTTCCAACTGTTGTTGTGTTTGTTCGCGACTCTTAATTTGAGGCTGCGAATGGTTAAAGATTTCTGTCAAATATTAGTAGAAAGACATTCTCAGCAGTTGGTTTCTTACACTCTTTCCTGTCAATCACAGATATATTTAGCCAAATCAGAAATAGTAACAGATGATATAAAATCATTAAGTGCAAAAGAGCCTTTTTTCCCCTAATCTTAACTTTCCTCATTAAAACAAATAAATGTACAGAAATTTATGATCACATTTTAACATAAACTAGTAAACAAGCTGTCACTGTGTGTGTTTATTTTTCCTCTTCAGGCAGGGAGATGCAGAGCCAATTAAACCCACTCAGACTTGGACTCAAGTCTTAGACTAGGTTCGAGATTCTGTCTCCACCCTCTTCTTCAGATGAATTCACAGAAATTTTCTTCTGCTGGTATCACAAGACAGTTGAGCTAAATGCTCACTGCTAGACAGTTATATTTGAACTCCACAAATTCCTTTGCAATTTGAAAACCCAGAGATACATTATAAGTCTATTTCAGTAGAATACTAAACAGGATCCCAAAATAACCAGTTATCTTGAGAGTATGATTACAACAATGTATTTGTGTCACAGCAGATGGTTATGCTATAAGAAATGACTCAAACCTATTAAAGCCCAGGAGATTCCTCCACGAAAATAAGACTTTTAATTCTTGAACCCAATCTTGTACCATTTGTCCAATTCTTTTATCACCAAGCAAGAGGCAGTGACAGTATGATATGTGTCTACCACACTTTTGATCAGTCCTCAAAGATTGTGGCCAAAAATCAATGCTGGACTACAATTATTGTTGGAGGATATAAATATTCAAAATTTATCTTTTCTTTTCAGTTATAGGTTAAGTATAAATAGAAAGCCATCAGTTAGTATCAGCAGCAATGGCAAGTAACGTATTCCTTGAAAGTTGTAACAGCTACCAATTAAAGGCATACTAAAAATCAGAAAAAGTGTGCCCTGAGTTATGGGAACGTTTGTTTCACTTCGGATACCTTAGTTGTGCTGATGGACAGGACATGCCATTCCCATGATCCACGGCACAGCATAGAGTCTATCCTAACTCAAGAAAGCATTTTCAAAATTCAATCATAGCCTGAAAAAATTTCCCACACCTCACTGTCACTCACAAATCGTTCACGAAAATCCATTTCGCTACAGCCCCACTTGTGATATTGTAATAACCATCAGAAAGTCTATCACATTAAGTCAGTCAAGATCTGCTTGCAAAATATAATCAAGCATAATTTCATGATTAAATAAATAGTGTATAAACCTGCTATTATTGGTTTTCATTTTCTTTTCAATACTACCATTTTCCATTTTCTCACTGGTAGTTTTCCTGACTATTCAAATGTCATTATTGCCCTTTATTGTTATTCAAATGAAGCTTTTTTTTATTAGATCCTCTGACACTATATATAAGGCTTTGCTTCTTCACCAGCAATAATTCTATTTCTGAGGGAAAATGGAAGTGATTGCACACAAAAGTCTGAGCTCTCACTTTATGTTAGGTTAAGCCTGCGCCTGAAATGAGATTTTAATTTAATCGTATTGGAGAAAATCAAAGGTTTTTATTAACTACCTTAAGAAGGCAGGAAAATATCCTTTTCCATGCAGGTTTTTTGGTTCAAAAACCTATGAAACCATTACTCCTCTTCAACGATGTGTATAAGACACACCGAATAAATTAAACTCAAATTTCTTTCATCAGATGGTATTTGTCATTTGTGTATTTTTCTTTTGAAAGGTAGGGGGAAATATTCTATACAAATAGTTTAAAGAAAATATTATAATTCAGTTGAATAACTTCTTAAATGTACTTTGTAGAAGATCTATGGAAAGTACAATTTAAAAGGCATATAGCCATAAATACACCGTTGTTGGTTTTATTAATATAGTACACTGGTTCACAAAAGGAAACTGTATCAACCGCAGGTTACAGCTCTATAAAACCAAATCTAACAAATATGGTATCAAGTTATATAAAGGTAACTGATATGTCTGTTAGTGGCCAGCAGACTTAAAAATTGTACCTTTTTGCGGTACCCTACCAGCAGTTTTTACCGTGTAGAGAAATAGAGTATCGCCTATTACTATAACCACAGATTTGTTTCCTAGCAGGAAAACTAACATAAGAGGAGAACAAATGAAAATATCAGGCACTTTACCAGAGAACTAGAATTCCTCAGGGACGACGAACTTCAAGGTTATTAGGACTTGTTACGAGAGCGCATGTAAAAGAGGCAGCATCATCTGGTACAGAGACGGAGGGTGATGGATTCGGATGCAGTCGGACAAGAAAGCCACAGGGAGGGCTTATACTTACCTGCCTAATATCTCTGTGTACAGAGAGAGCACTCTTCCATGCCACGAGAAGATAAGAAATAAAGGACCTTGGGGGATCACTGACCCTCGGGAGACAAAGCTAATTCTATTAAATACTTCTGGTACAACGTGAGGTGTCATGTAATTAAGCACCAGCATGTTTATTCCAGATAACAAGAGCCATAGGAACTTAGTAAAAGGAATTGAGTGTCTATACTAGCACCTAGGAAGACGCTGACCACATGGACCCCAAAGATCCAGATAATAATATCACAACAATCTCAGTTCCCAAGAGGCCCCAGGGAATAACTAACGTGTGATAACGACTTCAGCGCTACTCGCCTGGTTTTCCAATTTACCTGCACAAATGTTCTCACATACCTTCCTTGCCTAGAACCACGGCCCACCACGTAGCAGAAAAAAACTAAACATGGGAGACGTATAAACAGCTTTCTTGAAATATGCATTCTCCTTTACTATGAAGAGAAGCTGAAAGTTTAAGCAGAAGTGCTCAACCTTTTAAATATAGAAGAACTTAAATAATACTGAAGCAGGCCAGGGTCAGAGAATTTGGGTTCTAGTTTCTGCCGTAAAAGTTCGCTGTGTGGCCTTAGACACACTAATTCTTTGACCTTGACACATGCTACCATTTCCACCATCCTCCCAGCTCTGCGCAGGTCCTTCACTCAAGGACAGCGTTTGGCACCACTGCTGTACTTTAATTAAAAGAGCGGAGTTGTCTAGGTCACCTCAGATGGTTTTTGTCCCCACAGGTGCTTTTGGCACCAAGTGGAAGAAGGGACCATTTGCCAACTCCATGCTTCCGGGATCTAGATCAAAGCTCAAGATGCTGCTATAAGTCAAGGACATGATTTAACTCACCTCCAGAGACTTCGGTGCTGCTCCTCAAGCTGAGCCAGCAGGTGTTCAATGTATTTATTGGAGTCCATGTATTCCTGCAGACACACACACACGAAGACAAAGCAAAGCCCGTTACACTTGTCACCAGGACTCCCAGACTGTCTTCATCTCCAGAAGATTTTGGACAAGATCATCCCTTGACTTCTCCCAGTTTTAGCAGTACATGCTTCTTTGACTTACAAGCATGGTCATTTGGGAATGAATAATATTTTCCCTTTAATCTGTGGTCATGCTATAAACAAAGAACTGAAGGGAACTGGAGTTCTCAGCAAGTCAGCATAAATATACTCTTTTTTAAAAAAATATATTTTTATTGAGGTATAGTCAGTTTACAATGTGTCTGTTTCTAGTGTACAGCACAATGTGTCAGTCATGCAGGAACATACACATATTCAATTTCATATTCCTTTTCACTGTAAGTTACTACAAGATATTGAACACAGATCCCTGTGCTATATGGCATGAACTTGTTTATCTATTTTATATATAGTAGTTAATATTGGCAAATCTCAAAAAATCCTCTTGTTCACAGAAAAAAGCTAATTTCATAGTCATCTCCATTGTGCTCTGTTCTGCCGTATAAAATTAAGGGGGAAAATACGGAAGCCAATCTCACTTTTGCTGCTGACCTTAGAAGAGTGACAATGAAGCAGACAACACAGGTCTTGATCCTACTGATTTTACACAAATCAATTCCTAGCAAAAACACAGTTTTTCAATCATACAGAAGCTCCATATGGTCACTGGCCTCATTCACTGGGCAAACCAATACGTATCGATGAAGCACAGGCCCGTTTTCCTTCATCTCCTTAAATGAACAAAACAATGTAATTTGGTTTTGGTTTTCCTTTTTTTTTTTTTGGGACTCGCAGAAAATAAATCTTTGGCTTAGTCTAAGAAGATAAAAAGATGAAGTTTACCTTGTTTAGAAATGTCGGTAAATTTTTGTAAATCAAGCTGTATTTTCAAGAAATATTTCTGAAAATTTAGGGACTCCTTTGTTGCCTGAGAATTGTTCACAAAAATCCAGAAGTTATTAAATCTGATTTTTTAAAATCTGGGATTCCTGAATATGAGGTTCATCTACATTAGTTTCAATTGCTAACTATGTAGAAAAATATGATGTGTAAAATTTTGTGTATGATTTATTTCATTCTGAACCTGACACTTCTTTCCTTTTCCAATTAAAGATCTAGCCTGCAGGCCCCTGTATCTACATTACAACTGCCTTAGATGGAAGGATGTCCAATGATTTCAGTGTCAAGGCACCCATGAAAGTTACTGTTTAATTTTTTATGGATTTGAGATAAACTAGGAACTTTTCTTTCTGAAAAATAGATTTATTTTGATGAAATGATACATACAATCTGTTGCTCCTATAAAATATTTACTATAATGGAAGGGAAGGAGTGGAAGAAACACAGGAAGAGTTGACCTAATATAATGGAAAGGATCCTGTTCCAAGTTTCTGGGCCTGGATCCACCTGTGTTTCCTTGGAGAAGCCTTCTTATCTCTCCACAATATTCCAGTTAGACTGGAGAGTGCCCCAAGTCCTCACCTAGCTAAAACTGTTCTAATTTTATAACACTATAATTCTATTGCAGAAAATGAATGAGTTTTATCCTTATTAATATTCATATTCATTTTAGTTATTTCAACAAGATCATTGGGCCATCACAACCAAAGCGGGAATCTGTTTCTGCAGGAAGTAGCAATGGTTTGTGGTTATGTTAAGAATACTTATCAAGGTTTAAACATGATTTAAAACATTCAAAATTATCAAAAATATTTTCAAATGCAATTGAAATAGAATGGAATACAAATTGAATGAATATAAATTCAATTGAAAAAAATTTTAAACACAGTGTTCCTTGGTAGAAACAGATAAACTTCAAAGTCGCTCATCCATTCTCCATTCAATTGTTTGCAACATCTATTATATGCCAAGTGCTTCTCTAACTTCAGTAAATACAGTAATAACTAAGAGGGAGGAAGCTCCTGCCCTCAAAGAGTTTATATTCTGTAGAGAGAGCGGTAACAAATAAGCCAGCAGATCAATTTCAGACTGGTCACATGCTAGAACAGGTGACAGGAAGGACTTTAAATGGGGAGGACACCTCCTTCACACAACATGGCTGGAAGAGGACTCTGAGCAAATGATATGTGAGCTAGGACCTGGAAAAGGAGGAGGCACTCAGACACTGGGGGGGGGGGGGGGGGAATGCCGCAGGCAAAGGAAACAGCATATGCAGAGGCCCCGAGATGTGGTATTTAAGAAACAGAAAAGAAGCTAGCGGGGCCTGGAGCAGAGCCTGGGGTGTGTAGTCCAAAATGAAATTGAAGAGGTAGGTAGGGGTCAAATCAGGTGCAAGCTCTGGAAAACAGTTTAGATTAAGACCAAGAGATTTGTTACTGTGTTCATTCTCCTTAGCTCAAGTCAGAGGTGGAAGCTGAAAGGTGTGATTACAAATATGATCTTTGGATCAAAGAGATTTAGGTTCAGATCTTACTAGCTATGCCCCCTCTGGCAAGTTATTTAACTCGCTAAGTCTTATTTCCTTCATCTTCAAATGGGTAAATAATCATTTACAGAGGTGCTGTGAGGATTCAGTAAAATAGTGTAAGCAGGCACCACATGCCAAGCAGTGAGCAGAGCCTCTTCCATAGAATCAAACCTCCTGTCAAAAGGCAAACCTCTCTGCAAGATGAAAGCTATACCCATTTTCCTTTCTCTGACTCAACCTCAAGATTTTTAAGTGTATGCTTCTTCAATTAAATTGCTGAATATTAGAATAGGTAGAGACTAATAGTAATAATACAGATTTTCAATCATTACAAGTAGGTATCACTGGACTGTGGTATAAAAGCTATTTCACATAACAATACTGGAAGATTCTAGCATTAACATAGCTTTACCCAATTTTCCATAAAAATAACTATTATAAGAAGTCTTAAACGACATGACATTGGGAAACTGGGATTATGACTTCTCCATATTTCTTTTTTTCCCCCCGTATTTATTTCCAGCTTTATTTTTCTCCATAGCATGCTCACTTCTAACATTCAATTTATGTTATTTGCATGTTTAGGGTACTGCCTATACCCTACCCTAAGAATTTAGGCAGTACCCTCATACATTTATCATTTTTGGCCCCTGAATTGGGGATATTAGTTAACTAACAATAAATCCCTACTATTCTGTAAGAACAAAATAGGATTATTCTACTGGGAATCACTTACCTATTTGGAAATTAACTCCAAGGAAACAATGGAGGGTGAGAGCAGTGGGGCTGGCAGTGGTCTACCCTGGAACTACAGTCACAGCAAGTCCAATGTTGGAGTGACTGTGTCTACAGTGAGAGCTTGGGTACAAACTGCATACCCAAAGGATGTTCTTAATGTGGACTCCAATATTCCAAAGCATCAAAGGCACAGGCAGAAAGAAAGGCAGAATTCTACCCCAGTATAACATTGCTCCCCAAATTGCCTGAAAGACATTAGACATTAGGAGACCTTGGAGAAAAGTTTTCAAAAATGCAGACTGACAGAAACTGGAATCTAGACTGTCTGTTGGTGGTCCCAGGTTCTGGATGGATCATTCCAGAATGAGTAAACTGAAAACATACAACACAGAACCTAAGAAGTCCTAGAGGACCAGGGGAAGAGAGCATCAACCGCAATCACTGGAGAAGGTATCAGTCTGAAAATGATCAAGAAAGCATTAAAAAAAAAACTTCACATGTTTGGTAGTATCCAGGAAGGCATGCCTCTCCAAAATATGTGCCGAAAGCTTCAAAAAAGATACTCAGATAAAAAGAATTAAATTAAAAACATGATGAGTTGAAAACAGAATAAAATGAAATGAAAAAGGTGCTGGGTGAGCTAAGAATGTCAAGGGAATACAAACTGGAACAGCAAAATGGAAACTTACTGGTCATTACATTGTTAGTTTTATTACGGGATGACTCTCCACACCATGAAATGGTACTCTGGAGAAGAGTGAGTAATGGATCGTGGTGTATTGACACTAAGTAGTCACACAAATGAAGTCTACTTCTCAGTATTTCATCTGGAAATAAATCACTTTCCAAGACAAGTACTTAAATACAGGCACCCTCAGTATCCACAGGAGATTGGTAACAGGATCCCCTGCAGATACCAGAATCCAAGGATGCTCAAGTCCTTCAGAGTCAGCCCTCTGTACCCACAGATGTGGAAGCCATGGACACAGGCCTGACTGTACTTACTAAGCCTTCTCCCATTGCTATGGTATGAATCAATTACTGTATATACACAGGTAGTGAAGATGAAAACTGCTACAACCTTGAAGAAAAACATACACCCATATCCCCACTGTCTTTGGTGTCAGTGTTCATGTCTGTAACATTATCTATGAAAAATGTCAGTTTCCCAGGCTTGCTTTGCCCAGCACGTACCTCCCATGTCACTCAGTGCAAAGACTTCATTCAAAGTACAGTTATTCATTTGATGAACCTTGTATTCTACTCATTTTCCTTGTGACAAACTCGCTTTAGATATAATAGTATAATTGACGGTAAAAACACATACACAGTCCTGTGAAGGACAAACAATTTAAATTAAATAAAGGATGAAAATGAACATGAATAGAGACATGAGGGATAGGAGGTCAGAAAATGTAGGTTTGTCTAACAATTATAGCTTTTGAGTATTTGACGAGATTTGGAATGTAAACAATGACGAAAAGGATAATTAAAGAAATATTTTAGAATAGAATATAGAAAAAAATGGATTTTGCATATCAAAAAGGTTCCTCACATTCCAAGTAGAGTTTATGGAAAATTATCCACACATCCACCTGAGTAAGAGCTGAATAAAAATAGTATGGGGGAGGGTGGGCGGAGGTGAGCAGCGGGGAGACTGCGAACATCCAGACAAACGCCTTTCCCACCAAGGATTTTTTAAAAAAGCTGGCTGCATAGCTTCTGGCCCCAGAATGAACACTGAAATAAGACACATAGTCAAGCTTTTGAGTCTTAATCCATAAATATCGCC